ACACACACACACACACACACACACACACACACAAACATATACACACACACATATACATGTATATTCATAGATTAGTCATTCACAGTCTCCAGTCCAAAAACAATCAGGCTATGTCAATTTGTGTGCATTGAGAAGCTTGTATCCAGTAACTTCTTTCAACACATGATTTGTTGAATTCCATCTACCATAGTTTGAACTGTGTCTGAGTGATAAAATGGAGGAGTCCTCTTCTGCTCTTGGGCAGGAAAACCCGGGTATTTCTACAAGTGATTACAAGTGCAATGCAAATCAAATTAACAAAGATACTTGCTTCTCTTTCTAGGAAAAAGAAAAAATTTAAGATAAAATATATTTTGCCACTGAATAAGTTGTGGGCCTTGGATGGTGTGGTCTTTTACAGAAAAAAGGAAAACCATAGTTCCAAGACCCTTTACCTCACATGGCCCACTGGAAATCTTCATGCCATCTTTCGGTAAGACCTACAGTTTGGACCTTTATTCGCAATAGGATAGCTATATAAATTTTAGGCCAATTAGTGCTTCATAATTAACAGTTTAAACAAATTAACCAGAATGTTTGCAAAGTAAGAATTCATTTTATTCTGATTGTATACAGGTTGCCAACTCAAATTTTTCTCTTATATGATGATTCTAGTGTGTTCCCCAATTGGGAAACATCACCTTCAGTGTTCACATGCAGATTCCTGACCACAGCATCAGAACCAACCCCTAAATATCACCAAGTACCAATAGGTTTTCCTGTGATAATATCACTTTTTATTTTACTGACACTAAATAAGAGGTGTGTGTGTGTGTGTGTGTGTGTGTGTGTCTGTGTGTGTGTGTCTGTGTGTGTTTGAGTGTGTAGGTTGAGCGGTAGAAGCATAATCTACCTTTCTGATAAAAATGAAGAGAATAGAGTAGATGAACAGTTAATGGCAGAAACAAGAATGTGCCAGTCTTTGGGCAAGAATGACTTCATACTTCCATAGGAAATCAAGTTGAATTATAGATGTTAGAACCATGGCAAAAGGGAGAAGAAAATTCTGTGAATGAAAGATTTTGCAGCATGGATAATTATATTCAGGAAGAGGAAACAATGTAAACATAATTTACAGATGGAAAAACTATACCTGACATAGGGTTGTGAGCATAGGGAAGAGTAAAAGTGCATTGGGTAAGGGTTGCTGTTTGGATAAGAAAAACATTGAACAACAAGATAATGTTGATGACTATAAGACACAGTGAATGTGTCAAATATTAATGAGTTCTAACTGATTCAACATAGAATTTGCAGTTATAAAATGTTAGCACTGCGAGTTAATCTTTAACCATCTTAATTTAGAGTATTTCATGCTAAAGTGGAATAGTGATGGGCTTATTAATTGGTCCCAGGAGAGTTGATGTGATGACACACAGATGAAGCACTAGTTTCTGGGATCTCTGTCTTGTGTGAATAATGGTACATTTCTGTGTGAACATGACCTCACGATCAGAGAACACTGTTTTTTTTCTTTGTTTTTATTAATTTGGTGGTATACAACTTTATTTTTTTTAATTAATTTTTTATTGGATTTCAGATGTTATTCATTCTCAATTTCCCCCACCAACCCAGAAAACCCCTATTCCATCCCCTTTCCTCCTGCTTCTACGAGGATGTGCCCCAACCCACCCACCCACTCCCAACTCCCTGCCCTCAAATTCCCTCACCCTTGGGCATCCAGCCTTCACAGAACCAAGGACCTCCTCTCCTACGTATGCCAAACAACTAGCTATCTTTTTATATATATGAAACTGAAGCTAGGAGTAATTGCTGACCCAGCCATAGTCACACAGCTCTTGGAACATAATCAAGTCTTGACATTCCCAACTAGCTTCCACATTATATTCAACTTCCCATCATACAAGTGTTCCATGAAACATGTCTTCCAGAAGGGCCGTCATGTGGGGAATACCATCTACTCCTGCACCCTCCTGGTGGTCTTTGGTTTATAATGATTTTTATGTGCAATAAGCTTAAAAGTTGTATCATTCTCAAGTCTCTGATCCTATTTTTCACTTTTAACTTTACAGTTCGAAAGAACAGAAAGAGCAATGGTATTATTTTCTGAAAAGGTATTTTACTTGTGATTATACATTAACTCTGTAATTGATATGGGAATTGCAGTTTGTGCTTTATTTCTTTCTTAAAATTATATTTGGTAGACTGTCTCCAAATATGTTGTTGATTAGATGATTATTGGATACTGCTTTTGATTCTCCTACCTATCACATATTTCACGTAATTTTGAGGAAGTTCTGTATTCATTTTTTCCTTTTTATATTAGAGTATATAGTACTCTTCAGTCTTACTTTAAATTCCACTCTGTAGATGTTACTCTACTGTGTCTATCCAAACCATCTGCTACTCTCTCCTTTGAGGTCAAGCAGATTTTTGCCTTTTCCTTGTGTACTAGTCACTAAACTTTCTCTAGTGCCATGGAACTTATGGACTGTCTGTATATATTAAGGGAATTTACTGTAATGACTTACGTTCTGTAGTCCAACTAAGCCAACATTGGACAGTTATGAATGGGAAATCAAAAACTCTAGCAGTTGTTCAGTCCATGAGGCTAGTTTGTTTCACATGATCTTCTGTATAAACTGGAATCCTGAAGAAGTAGATATCAACAGATGTGCTGGCAGTAACTGCAAGCAGACAAAGAAGAGTGAGTCTGCCTTCTGTCAATGTCCTTATGTAGACCTCCATCAGAAGGTGTGGCTCAGATGTGTGTACCTCCATGCCTAGATTGGGACCTTGCTTTGTCCCAGGCAGACCTTGCACTCAGAGATCCACTTCCATCAGTCTCTTGGAGTTAATGGTGGGTGTGCCAATTCTACTTTCTGGGGCCTAAGCAATTCATGGCACCTATGCCTCAAGATCTCCATGTCAATGTCCAAGCCAAAAGCCTGTGTCTTCCAGACTCAGGATTTGGATCACAGCTGTGCCCTCCATTTCTGGATTATAGTTCATTCCAGACGTAGTTAGGTTGACAACAACCTTGCAAACAAAGAGTTCTGAGGACAGGCTGTGCTTCCTAGATCAATGTGCTGTTACCTTACCGAGGCTTTGGTTCTGAAACATTTTTAAATATTCCCTAATCCAATAATGCACACTGCTAAACTGATTGTCTTGTATTTAACACTAAGATGGTACTTATAAAATATTAACAGTGATTAGCTTAAAAGAAGCTACTAGCAAATTAATTTTACTATGTTTTGTGTTTTTATTGCATTTGAGCAGAGCCATTGATAAAGCCAAGAAGGGTATCAAGAAATCTTTCTCACTGCAGATATTCACTGAGGACATCCCAACCTGCGACAGTGTATGTGAATACAAAGTCAAAACTGATATCTCAAGTTCATGACTAGCCGAGAGACAGGCAGTTTGTAGAATAATGGAAGGTGGAAACATCAGATGGGGGTGGAGGGGAGAGATAGTACGAATTTACGTATATGGAAAAGCTGTAGGTGTATAGCATGCACACATGTGTCTTTTATATGTGATATGTAGAAAGAAATATGAAGCAAGAAAAAAGACGAAATATTTTTTTCTTAAATGACTGAAAATTAAGTCAGGTAGTTTTGACAGCATATATTTCCAAGCCAAGTATTATTATTAGAATTAAGCTGCTTTATCCCAAGTTCTTATTTCTTATCTATTAGCTTATATGTTGTTCAAGTATCATTTATTTACAATATTTCTGTTTAATCAAAAATGATTATATAAGATAATCATAACCAATCTTAAGAAAAACAAAATATTATCAAGAATTAATTTCCTCTCCTCATCCACATGTATCATAACTTTTTATCTCTGTACCCCTGTCCTCTGCTCTTTCAGTATGTCTCTTACTGTGCATCCGGACACCTGCTTTGGAAGGCCCAGTACATAATCATTGCTCTTGATCCTCTTATTGACTTGAATGTCCTAGGGCATAAGGATCTTTTCTTGTGACTTCTGTTTAGTGTATGTGTATGTTTGTGAGTGTGTGTGTTCATATGTGTGTACAGAGCTTAGAATTATCTCATGACTTTGCACATAAGACATAGTAGTTTTATCATTGAGCTACACACATAGCTATTAAATACTTGTTTATTTTCTAATTCTTAATTATTGTTCCATTTTCACTATTGTCTTTAGTGCAGATCAGAAATTTAACTGTTATGTAGCATGCAGAGCATTGAAGACCATTCCTACTGTAAAGCAGAACAGAATGTAGCTCAGAGGATCACCATCTATAAATTGTCTTTTATGAATGGTAATGGGTGTAATATGTACCTAGAGTCAATATTCTAACATGTTACTTTTGAAATTGCACTAAACTTAC